ATTTGTTGAAGGCTATAGGCTCATTGATTTTTAAAGTAGAATATAAGTTGAAAATACTTCTTTCGTGAAGCATGTGAATATATTTAATAAATTAAGGGAACTTTTTGTAACATGTATCGAAAAGGTTTTAAAGACAAACTAAGTTATTATACGATTGGCAGAATTGTCTGTAAGAATATTGTATTTAATTGAATATATTATATTTTCTTCTAAAGAATAAAGAGGTCGTGGGGAAGTTTTTCAAATGTTTACATAAATATATATCAAGTTAATAGGTCTGTAACTGTATAGTTTGTTGGCAGGTTTTCCGTTTTCTTATTTGGAGTGATAGTAGGATTATACATTTGACCTGTAAAAAAGAAGTCAGTTGACTGTTCATGTAATAGTCAACTACAATAAAATATTACTTAATTAATACTATTATCATATAACATCAGCGGATGTTTAAAAAAATTACATTTTCTTCTTGTCCTTCGTACTTTGCTGTTTTCTAAAAATATTTAAGTCAATTGTTCGGCTACTCTATAACTTAACTTAATATTTAGAAAGTAATCATTTATTCTAACTTTTACCTAAAACCATGTTCATAATAACACAGTAAAACTCTTTGTCTATATCTTATAGATAGATGGTTTATTTGACTACTCTTTTTTATTTTTCTTCTTGTACCAGAATTTGAAGTGTATCACAGTTATTGTAGCAAGGCTGTAAGTTACAAACGATCGAGAGTGTAAAATAATTAACAACTTGCAAAACAGTGTGATAGGATATTCAAGTGAGACATTCAAAGCTTTGCTTCTTCTTCAGGAATTTTGTAATCCTTGCCAGGCCAGACTGGCCTTGTTACCAATGTACCGGGCTGTTAATCAGAAGGTCTAAGATTCGAACGGTATTATAAATGTGAGTGTTATAATTACAGTAACCAATCTCGCTTCTCAGTTAAGAGTAGCTACATATTAGGCGGCGAATACTGCTGATTGGCTGGCCTCCTTCTGCTCAGCAGGTCTAAAGTATGAATGACTATGTCTGAAAATGGAGATTTTCTTTTTATTTTCCTCACCCAGAAGACCATTGATATTTTGGTGGGTGACCAGCTCATTGATGCTTTCCAGGATGAAGATATGTGGCATTCGACTGAGGCAAAGTAGAAGCACTGCATTTAGAGAAACTGTGTAATTTACAAATGATGATAAAGAAGGAAGGTAAAATTAGAATTTGATTAAATAGATAAAACAAAAATGTTAATTCTACTATATATCCCAGGTTTGTCATGTCAACTTTTTCGAAAATTTAAAAACAAAACAAAAATAAGGCAAATATTCAATTAAACTAAAGATGCAACTAATCCAATGGAGAAAATAGGTATTCATAAAGTTGGATGTGAATGTATTTGTCAAAATAGAAATTTAAAATTTAGAATAAATGAATATAATAGCAATGTTAAACACAAAGTTGAAAATTCTACACTAGCTGAACATGCAAGTCATGCGGGTCATATCATTTAGTGGGAAAACTTATTTTGGTAGAAATATTAGAGAAACTATACAAATAATAAAACACACTAAAATAATTATCATATCTTAAATAAGGATGAAGAGTTGGTTTGCTGTAGTTTTGATTTCACACTTCTGAGAATGACATGATTCGACATCGAAATGCATAGTGTTTGTTATGACATCATTGACGGTCTCAAAATATAGTTTTTAACTATGTACTGAAAAACAGTTGATAGTTTGAGTGTTTTATGTTATTAACTCACAATTTTAGCGCCTTCAGAGAAGACTTGCTTGTGCTAAGTTTAAATCACTAAAGCTTCTCCGTTTTCCTTAGACTTTCAGTATTTTTTTTTTTTCACAAGGAACATATAGCGGAAAGGTTTGGTCTGTTTAGAATTTCGCGCAAAGCTACACGAGGGCTATCTGCGCTAGCCGTCCCTAATTTAGCAGTGTAAGACTAGAGGAAAGGCAGCTAGTCATCACTACTCACCCACCGCAAACTCTTGGGCTATTCTTTGCCAACGAATAGTGGGATTAACCGTCA